GGGGGGGGTGTCCTCAAAACAAGATGGAGGCTTTTGATCAGGGCTTGCCTTTGTAAAGGGACCACTTGGCTCTCCTCTGGAGACCATATTTATTGGAATAAGAATGGAAGTGGATGCCAGGCGTTGGTGGTGCATGCCTTTAATCCTAGCACCCAGGAGGCAGAGACAGGCAGATCTCTGTGATTTCAAAGGCCAGCCTGATCTACAGGGTGAGTTCCAGGACAGCTAGAGCTGTTATGCAGAGAAACCCTGTCTTGGGAAAAACAACAACAACAAAAATAAACAAACAAAAAACAAAACAAAACAAAAAATGTTCTTCCAGAGATAGCAGGTGTCCAGGAGGACAGTCACCACTTCTCTTCCATTAAAAAGGTCAGGCCACTGCAGGCAAGCAGGGAGAGCAGAGGCTCAGAATGCTCTGGATCTGGATCCTCCTCCATCATCTGCTCTCTCACTGACTCTCCTGTCTGTGTGTCTTTATGAGATAGGGTCCTGCCCTGTCCGCTAATTCATTCCTGCTCCAAAACAAGGGAGGTGGGCACATGGATACCCACCAGGAAGCTGATCTGTGTCCTGGTCAGCCCCCTCTCAAGCAAGGAATTTGGTTTTATAAACGGAGACTATACAGCAACCCTGAAATCTTTTTAAAAACAACATCCTTGCTCTCAGTCCACCCCCCCCCCCCCCCCCCCCGCTTCCATTAAAGAGACAGATTTCTGGGGGAGAGAAACACGTAAGAATGGACAGGTAGCAGATCGGGAGGAAACTGTGAACTGTACTGCCAAACACACAAGGTGACATGTCCATTAAACACCTACAATAGAGCCCTGGATCCCACAGACTCTGAACTGTCTGCTGGGAACAGCACCGTTTCTTGGAAGCCTCCTCTGCCCTAAAGGGACACTCCCACCCCCACCAGGAGGCTACAGAGAGGATCTTACCAACACTATGGTGAGGAGAAATCTGCTGATCTCTTTCATCTCTGGCACAGATGTCTCAAAATTGGAGATGGAACTAAATGTGGAGGTTTGGAGCCCCATTATGCCACACAATGGCCTACAAATGTAACCATTTCAATTTGGAGCAGCCACCTGGGGCCACTCAGACACAACAACCTATCCCAAAGTCTGGTATCAGGGCGAAAGCAACACCCTTTCGAGCTGCTCGGCTTCCCAGTGTTGGGAGACTGGAGACCCACTGTTAGATGGCTCCCCTGAGAGAAATGTTCCTTCCTCCCTGAGATCCACTCCCCTCCACCTGAGATCCACTGCTGAGTGTACCTTTGAACTATAGGTCTCTGAACAGGGCTTGCTCAGCTGTCACCCCATAAACTCTGCTCAGCAGTAGTCTGGAGTATGTTACTCCCCCACGGGAGTTAGAAGTGATCACTCCAACCTCTGGGCACTAAGTAACCTAAGTGCTTGCAATTCCATCATCTATCGGCCAACTGATCACAATCTGCCTCCGTTGGCCTCTCAAAGATTCCTCCGTTAACTACTGAGCTAAACAAACTCTGGAACTCTAGTGTCTGACTTATGGACCATTTCCAGGATGCCTGAATCTGAGACTGAGTCCCACCTTGCCAAATTCCACAGCCTGAGTCTACCCTCCAACCCTGTTTGGAAATTTGCCCTCCTGTCCCTGCCTCAACACCTGTTCAATCTTGGCCTAGTGTCCTGGGGCAGCATCTCCTACCTGGATGCACACTAGGCGAAGGTGCTGTCCTGATGGTCCCCGGCTGGTAGAGATACTGCTCCAAGAAGCCTCATGGCTGCTTATTTAGAGCCCAGCTGCAGACCAACTCAGAGGGAACCCGTGCCTGGGCTGTCAGACAGCCCAGCGAATCTGCTGGAGGCTGCAGTCTTATCTGAAAGAGCTTCCTGCCTGAAACCATTAGCTATCCTGCAGGACCCTGAGGAGTGTGGGAACACAGCCCCTGCTTCCAGGCTGGGGTGCCTGGAGATCCCAGCCAACCCCCACCCCATTCTCACTAGTTTTCGGTTTTCTTTCCTGTTTTCCTTTCTTTTCTTTTTCTTCAAATAAGTATATATGCTGAACATGGTGGTGCATACTGACAGTCTGCACCCTGAAGACTGAAGTTTGATTGTTGTTTAGTTACAGGCCGGCTTGCACTATGTAGCAAGTTTCAGGCCAGACAGGAGTACATAGTGAGACTGTGTCTCCAGTCAAATCAACAAAAAACCAAGATGGAGAGTAATGAGGGAGACTTGAATCTCTGGACACACATGCACCTGCTTTCAGACATACACTAATACAATATATCACCACACAGAAACTAGGAAAGGCAGTCGAGTTCTGTGCGGTCTCTAAGTGCTGGGATAACATGAGCCACCTACCACTTCCAAATCTTCAGCCTTATGCTGAAGGGCTTGAACTCAGGACCCTGTACACACCAGGCACACTATCAACTGATCCCCAGCCCATCTTGAAGGCTTTTTTTTTTTCATATCTAAACATTTTTATTTCAAATCTCTTTTTCATCCCTTCCCAAAAAGACATGGGTCGGTACAGCAATCATAAAAGTCTATTTTAACCATTTAGTTATTTTTTATACTTTATGAAAATAAATTATACAGAAACTATTTTAATAAATTAAGCACAAAAAGGGAGAATAAAGAAGGAAAATTAAATAGGAAGACAAAAACCAGGCCACGCTTTGGCTTGAGGGCATTTTTAAAAGTGCCAACAAAATCTTCCCTGTTACAAAAACAGTGTTAATTTAACTTGTCTATGTTGAGTAGATTGTGAGTTAGAACTTTTGAATTATAAGCTGACCCTGGAGTCACAAACTAGTGTCAAGTCACCAGGAAACACTGGCTACTCCCCCCCTAGAAACAGACCACTGCATCCTCCTCTCTGCCCTGACAGCACAGGCCCAGGGTTAGAGCCATTTGCCTGAGAGCTCTGACCCCACAGACCATCCCATTCCCAGGCAGAACAAGACTGGCTCACATCCAGCCAGTGTTTACATCTCTCTGAGATAACCATGGAGTTTGGATACAAGAGTTACATGAAACCCACTCTGCTCTGGATGGGAAACTTCAGTGGGGGTCACACCGGACGTGCTGCTGTATCTGTGGGACACTTTGTCCATAAGGACATTCACCATGGTCACCTCCCCAAAGGTCCCCCTCACTCACAGACTGCCTGAGTTTCCAGAGAGTGCACAGCACTTGGCCCACTACACTATCCTAATCCCAGTCACTCTGGGACATGGAGCAGAGAGACCAGGGTGCGGGCAATTGGGAATCTCTCTTCTTGCTAATTTGTTAAAAGGTCTTGAGTACTTAACCATTAACATATTTGCCCAGTGTTATGATTCTGGATTGCACCATTTACATGGCAGTGGCTTGGGAAAGTGGCCAGAGGTTCTCCCAAGGAGCCTGCCCTGGTGATGCCTACAGAAGCTAGAAAGAAGGTATCAGATGCCCCGGAAATAGAGACACAGGACATTGTGAGTGGCCACGTGGGTGTTGGAACCAAGCTCAGTTCTCTGCAGAGTAAATGCTCTTATCCACTGAGCCACCTTTCCAGCTCTAGGCACTAGGGTTTCTAAACTGATAGCCTGAGTGTAGGGATCCCAGAGTGCTCATTTGTAATGCATTCCCAAGGCTAAGGTGGCTGTGCCAGAGACACTTAGGGACCCACTGACAGCCCCTGTGAGGACATTGATGAAGAGTCTACACCAGTGTGTCAGCAGCCCCATAT